GAATGCCGATTGTAAATCGAACGTCGCGTGTACTTCATGAGCCTCCGATCAAGCAACGATAGGCCATGTGCGACGTGAGTGAATCTTTCCACGGAAAATCTGTGCACCGCGCCAGAGAAAAGCGAAATACTGGTAAAAGCGGGCCACCCGCTTGCACCCATCAATCCGTCTGCAAATCGCTTAATGAACTATTGGCAAGACGAACTGTTGGGTGCGCTAACGAGAATATCGTTATTCGATTACAAAGACTTTGCATCGTGCAGTAGTAAGTTGTTCACACGCAGTTGTTAGAGATAATAAAAAAGATTTGTTAAATTATTTGTTAAAATGATATCGTCGCGTAGAAGAATTTGTTATTGTATACAAATTAATAAGAATTTTGCTCGATCGATTTTGTACATCGGAAAAACCAATTGTCGAAGTATTTAAAAATTTAGCTAGATACACATCTGAAAATAATTTTGTTGGATTTGTTGGAAAATAGTTACTTAGAAATCTCAATTAGCATGAATAACAACGCTTCAAAAAGTTTTGATATAGCAACTAATTTGAGCGTTTTACATAATTATTTCGATGACCCAACAAAATTTTTTCAGATTTATATTTATATTTCTATAGCTAAATTTTTTAATATACTTCAGTAAAACGTTCCGTTTGTATACACAACATGATGAGAAATTTCACGTAAGTATATTTTCAATCTTTTATATTTTTAAAATTACACTTTTCTCTTAGCGTGTTATAAAGACAGTTTAAGTGATAAAGATAATATGTTTTAATATGATATTTTATATAGGTTTTTTTATTTCAAGGTCAATGAAACGCATAAAACTCGATCAACACTGTATTACATGCACAAATCGCTTAATAAACTGTCAGTAGCATGCGAACAGTAATGATACCGGTCAGAGCGGATCATGTGTGCTCGAGTATCATATCGTCAACAGAATTTACGCACATAACCGTTTTGTGGTGCGAACGTTACCTATTCTGCACCTGCGCGTGTCCGATGCGATGGATCGATCGCAGGATAGAGGGAACCGATATTTCCTGCGATATTACGATCGAGATACGCTTCGGTGATGCGCGTTAATGGATTGACGACGGGCTAATTCAGTCGTGTCTCCGTGTGATTAGTCCGATTTTGCCGAAACCGATTCTGCCCTGCGGTGGTAGATACCCAAACTGTACATATTCGCTTTATGATCTGAGATAACGATCTTTCGAAATCCTATATGGGATAACAGGTGTTAAATTATTAGTCATTATTAGCATTGAAATATATCGGGGTTTGACAGAGAGTACGGATCAAACTGTAAATACATCAATGTAAACCGTTAGCGACATTAAATCCTGTACAATGCCAAGGTTTTGCTGAAGTAACTAAAATTTTTAGCTTGATACAATCTGAAAATAATATTATTGAATCTTTCAAATAACTATGACGCTCAAACTGGTTCCTTTTGCAGCATTGTTCATTGTACTTGAGATTTCTACAAAATTGTTTTCATGGCCCAACAAAATTACTTTTAAATTTGTATTTAGCTAAATTTTTATATTGTGAAAAAATGTACTAAATTTTAATAAATATTTATTTGAATAGTGCTAACTAAACCATTGACTTATAGTAAATAAATATTTACTTCAAAAAAATGTAAATAAATAAAATAGTGAACAAATATCTACTAAAAAGAAATAATAGAATATAATCAAATTAATAGTTAAATAAATATATCATTGTATTTTTTTAGTAAATACTTAGTTGATAATATTCAAACAAACGATTTATTAAAATTTATTATATTTTTCTCAAATATACTTCAGCAAAATCGTTATTTTTCATAAAGCGGATTCAAATCTCATATTTCGAGAAATAATATTATTGCGTTTTTCTTTCTTTCCAATAACATAAAATTTTTATTAGAGAGTACCAAACTTTGCAGCTGGATTCGTTTCGAATAAACATCATTGGTTCTTTCGATAAATCTTTTGTTGAACGGGTTGTCTAAAATGATATCTTAAAATATTATCGATCTTTGTTGTCTAAAATCTGTCGATAAAAAACCATATTCGAATTTCACGCAGACCAGGGAAATACTGGCAAGGCGAGGCATGCGTGTCATCAATACCATCTGACGTTCCATGTGCTCTTTGCTCGAGCAAAGCTTGCGGATCGGCGTTACAGTAGAGCGCAGGATCCATCACGTTTGTATATAATTTCGTTATGTTTTTTTTTTTCTGTTTCCATCACGAAACCGCTGATCAGCGCTAACATAAGGGAA